GAGTTGTTAGAAAACCCAAGAATCATAGTAACACGGGTCGTCTTAGCCATGCGTGAGCAAATGCAAAAAAAAAAATGCATTCAAACTCAGGACAGATTGGATATCATTTCCGACGACGCTTCTCATACGCGACGATTCTTCTCTGTCTGTCTGCTCAGGTGCTGCTGTCACTGACGGTGGCCGCCCACCAGCTGTTCGCCTCCGGTCGTCTGGGCGACTCCCTGACCCAGCAGTCGCGCGGTCTGGGCCCGGCCGTCCAGCTGGCCGCCGCCACCGCCGCCGCCGCCGCCGACGAGCCGGCCGGGAGGACGCTGGTGCGGGCCCTGCGCGTGCTGGGTGCCCAGACGGAGAGCGGTCGCAGCACGGGGCGGCTGCTGGCGCGACTGTACACGGCCGCGGCACTGAACGGAGCGCTGCTCGGAGAGGACCGCGACCGGCGGGATCTGACGCAGCTGAGACAGATGGCGCAGTTCGCCGCCGCCGTCTGCGGCCAGGTGAGGCAGCTCCGTGACAGGGTGATGTTCTGACCGATAACTGATGACAGACGGCAGGAGCTAGGAGCTCTATGGCCAAAGCCAGGCACAGAGGTGTGTTGATATAAAGACTACAACCAGCGTTTTTAATGATGATGAATAACACTCATTATTCAGAGATGTTTTGGAAGCTTATCATCTTGCCTCTCAAGATGCTGTTGTCACCGTTGAAGGCTTCGCAACAGTTAACCCTCGCCGGTCTCCTGACCACTCTGACATATCACGCCCTGGCCGTGCACCCCTGTCGGCCGTCCGCAGATGGGCAGCGCGTCCGCAGAGCTGGAGGAGCGCTCCCGCAGCGGCCAACTGTGGGCGCAGCAGCTGCTCGAGCTGTCGGAGCGGCTGGGCTGCGTGCGGCTGGTGTTCACTCCGGAGAGGGGCCGGACCATTAGCTGCCTGGTGCGACCCGGCGGCAAGAGCCCGCCGCCGCTCCGGCCCAGTGAGAAAACGAAACAGTGGGCGCGACCGGGCGGAGATCGGATCTCCCGGGGCTATAACGATCGACACAAGGGACCTCCCGGGGTCATAAGTCTCTTACACATTTACCGAGCAAACGTGTCAACTTCAGAATTCACATCTGTGAGATTTATTGAGAGCATCAGGTCTTCTTCAGGTTCCAAAGTAGGTTAGTTGTATTGTATACACTCAGGACAATATCGATCTTTGATCGAGAAACACGAAACATGCATGACGTTTAAGGTATCCAGTCGTTCGCAACGTAATTGAAGTGCTCTTCAACGTTTCCCAGGAGTGGAATTAGAGAAGGACCTGGAGTTTCTGCTACAGGAGGCTGAAATGGAGGACAGCAGCGCCCCGCCGGCCCGTACCGTCCACTGCATGCTGCAGTTCGCCAACCCCATCAGGTAGGTCCGGACCGGCCACCGTCACAGCTCAGCAAGAAACAAGAGCAACGTCTCCAGGCCTATCCAAATGAACAAAAGGCTATTCGTAGATTCTTTTATGAGCCAAAAGGCTTGTTCGGGTGTTTAGTTTACATTGCTGCTACCCAGATGGCGCTGGCCGCTTTGCTCCAGCCAGAATTCCGATTCCCGATGCATCTAATCGCAGTGACATTTCTGGAACTATAAGTTATCGTCCCTGTCGCTAGATGTCACTAGCTTGACCTCCCTCCGCCAGGTCGCACGTGGACCACCTACGGCGCTACGGTCGCCAGCGCGGTCTGGGTCACATCGTACCGGCCATCATCAGGATGGGACAAGGAGAAGTGAGTTGACCAGGGACGGAAAACGGTATCGGGATATACCAAGGGCTCGGGCCATGTAGGCATGCTGATAGCAGCAGCCGGCCTCTAGCGTAAGCCATACGCCGTTTCCATAGTTACCGACCTGAGGCAGACAATGAAGTCGGCAATTGATATATTAGGGTTAGTGAATATATAGTCATTTGACTAGTCATCCGGCCTCCCCTTCTCACCCTCTCCTCTTCTCTGACCTCCCCCACCCCTTTCCCAGCTGCTGGAGAGACTGACGGGAGGTCTCCCTCTCCTCTCCCCTTCTATGAACTTCTCTCCCCTTATCTGACCTCCTCTCTCTCCACCCCCCCCTCCCCTCTCCCCAGCTGCTGGAGAGACTGGCGGACGGTCTGCCGCCTCCGGAGCGATCTCTGGCGCTCCACCAGCTGCAGCAGTGCCTCGCTGCCATGGTGCCCGGAGTCAGACCTGCTACCGACTCTCAGACGAACCGTGACAAGGTCGGTAACTGTTGACCGTTAGAAAAAGCTGTTTCTCTTGTCATAATCGATGAGGTTGTAGGCCGTAGGGGTTTCCCTACTTAAAACCATAAGAACAAATTTCTGCTATTTTTCCTTTCGACTTCTATCGACGGGAAGGTCGGTGCCTTTTTCAGGTTGCAGGCAAGGCGTAGTTTCTAACTCTGCAATGGTGGATGAGAATTCAAGGTTAAGTAGCTATGGGCAGAGCTGATCCGAAGACATGATAGGTCACACAGGACGTAGAGCCTCCGGCCCTGCAGGTTACCTTGTTCGAGCAGTGGAAAGGAACCTGGTCGAGCTTTGACTGGATTCGGCCGTCATCTTTTGAATGTTTTAATTTGATTTTGGTAAAGACTTAATACATTTCTTACGTAACAACGGGTAGTGAATACCTATACACTGGAGAGTGGAGATGTCATGAACGTCTATCGCTTATAGATCGGTTGTGATTTCGGTATCTCATCGTTCCCTAGCTGCTATAATTAAATCAGATGCTCTTGTGGCTGGCATGCCTGTCGCTCTGCGAGTTCCTGCGTGTGTGTAGGTGTCCGGAGCATGTTCGCTATAAAAAGACCGACGGCCTCATAGGTCAGCGTCTCGTCAGCGGCGAGGCGGTAGGCGGCGCATAGTGTCGATATCGATTACCGATGCGGGCGTTGATTTCGCACGCGGCCGCGTATCGATGTCGGTGGCTCCGGCCTCCGGTCGGTGCGGAGGGCCCACAGTGACCGCTGGTCACCTGACCGCTCCCTCGGTCCGCAGGGCGCAGCGAGGAGCGACCGAACCGCAGACAGGAACGGCGCCCTGCCATCGGGAGCGGCCCACCAGCCGTCCTGGACCGCCAAACCGGGCCCGTCAACGACTGACCGCGGCGGAGGAGCCACAGACGACCGGCTTGAGCTGCGGGACGCTGTGGACGCTCCGTCGGGCACCCTGGGGAGGTGGAACCCGGCCTTCTGCTCTGGGGACGAGCGGGACACCGAGGCCGAGTGGGTGATGATCGTGCACCCGCCGGCCAAGGTGGCAGAGAGGCCAGCGAACGCCCAGTTCTCCACCAAACTGTGAGGAAACTGCGAGAGAGACGTGGTGAACGGGTAGCAGTCTGTATGCTATGCTAAGCGCGGCAGGTTATACGGAGAACATTTTATCGGTAAATCAAAAAAATGTTTAGGGATGGTTAGCATTGTTTATTGCAAAATAATGCGTTCTTGTGTGTATAACTAGTATGATTTTATTTGTCATCCGTACCAAGCATTTACTACTCTAATAAGCAGCTATCTGTATTGTGCCTTGTCCTGTCAATGATGTGCTTTTATTGTGAGCACAAACATAATATTTTCATGAGTACCTACAAATGACACGCGTTATTATCGATCGTTATCGATGGTAAGAATAACGTACTGCAGTTCCTGCAGTGTGTGTTCCTGTATGTGAAGTAGTGATATTGGTATAATAAAATGGGTTTTCGGTACTTGTGAATGATGCAGCTATGAGCTAATAAACACGGGGTGTAGCATATATGCAAAAAAAAAAAAAACAAATAAGCAACGCTGATTGCTGATTTGGCATCACAACAAGATTCGCTTAGCTGTATAGTCTCGGACATTCCTAAACTAGATGCCGGCAGCGCTCGTGCGTTGCCTTGGGCCAGAATTGGAGGATCCATAGCCCAATGACTTCATTAAAAACCGACTTTTGTGTCGCTAGATCGACGTTTCCCGGGATCAGAGGATCCCTCGTCAAAACCGTTATCCGCCCCCCGCACGCGCAGCTTGCACCTCTCGGATATTATCTCGCCGGAATGTCGTGATCAAATGTATTCTTCTTATGACCTGCAAGTTTTGAACCAGTTAGAGCTGCCGTTTACCCTGCAGGCGTGGCAACGTACGAAGGGGTGCAATCGGCTTGCACGTGCATAGCTCATGCACCACAGAGTTTAGCTCAACCAAATGTGCATTATTTTGGAGGCCTTGCCTGGGACTACCATTGAACCGATTTTGAGGTTGATAGCTTAAAATTTCTTTGAGCCAGAGGACCTCACGTCAAAACGGTTTTCCGACCCCAGCACGTGCAGCCTGCACCCCTCGCAGACGGTGACCCCCCTGGAAACTGGTTCAAGGTGTTACCGATGTGTCCCGCCAGTATGGCTTTACCCGTGACCTCGGGTTGACCTGAAGCCTTGACAAAAAATTTCGTGTCACCGAAACTTTGAAGCGGAATAGCATGTGCCACGAAGCACCGAGCGAATCGAGGCCAGCACCAAAAGTTTACCTCGCCGGAGACGAATCAAACGGTCCCACTTTCGTCCCGATCGGTCCACCCATTTTGACTCCAGGTCCAAAAAAGCTTGGACAAACTCACTCACATACTCACTCACTGACAAACAGGTTCAGCCGAACTTTTTTTCAGCGACCCACCAATGGGAATTTCCGGATGCAAAAGCATGCTTTTGATCCTCCAATTCTGGATGACAAAACCGAATCATTTTGTCAATGTCACTGAAAGTTTCATTACACACCCAGACCTACCTAATCAAACAGTTACTCTTGTTAACGTAGCTCTAAGCGAATAAAATAAAATAACCACAATAAATTGTCATGTTGGTGACGCACGCAAAAAAAAACTAACCGCCACATGCACTTATTGATCACAGGTTAATTAATCATTTCATGGAAGAATGATGTTGATGTACGTCACGAGCATCTCAAAATATAAATCTTGAACTGCGCTGCGACGAGCATTTAAGCATCCGGTACGGGGAAATGGCGTAAATTCAAGCAAATCACAACTGATTCTCACACTCAATAAATGCTAGCAAGTAGCAATGAAAATCATTTGAAATGAGAAAAGTTATAATTCTTAATAAATTATCGTTGATGGAATGGGTGGGAAAATCTCGATACCATTTCTGTGTCCAGCAGACCCAAAGAAAACCGAAGAATCGAAGCATGTAGCAGAAAAGAAGCCAGAGCCGGAAGAGGAGAAGGAGCCCTCTCCTCCACTGGATGCGACGCCCGCTGTCGTCGAGGACACGTCTGTGGAAGCAATAGCGATCACATCTACCACAGAGCATGCTGAGCATCCGGAACGTCACGAGCCTCCACATCTTGTGAGCAGCAACAGCGTCCAGCCACGCAGCTCGTCGCCGCGGCCGATCCGGTCGTCAGCTGGCGTCGGCTACTCGTCGGCCGCCGCGCCCCAGGGACTGGACAGTCGCCAGAAGAGGGGCAGCATGCTGGCCCCCCTGATCAGCAGCGGCGGCTCCGGCTCCGTCGTCTTGGAGGCCTCCTCTCGGGGTGGCATGGCGCCGCCGCCGCGAACAAAGTCGCCGGTAGCGCAACAGTGAGCCCGCCCGGCACTCGACGGCTTCGTGGGACGTCCGCCACCAGTTGAGCGTTTTATAATCGATGCCTGTTTAGAACCGTTGCTAAAGACAAGGTCATTTTATTACCTTGTATACAAGACATGGTTTGTCTGACCCGCGCTGGACTTACGTAGGTAAGCCACTTCAAGGAATCGCAGAGAGGAAGTTCTATTCTGCGTGGTCGATTTTTCATCAGTTACGAACTAATAGACCGTAAAATGTTTTTTTTTTTAACCTTGTTCGTGATTTTCTTTACATGACGAAATGCCAACGGATTCAATCTGTCACTCTTGATGTTCTCATTCGGTTTTTTATGATTTATGCCTTCGTTTGTGTACTTACTGGCTACTTTGCCAAAGTTATTGCATTAATTATACCGCAACATTTTTCCATGTAAAAAGCCGATGTGATGTAGGTAAACTAACCTAACTTGTGCCTAAAAGTGCAAAAATAAACGTTTTAGAGAACCATATTTCAGACCGATGTCTTTCAATTGAATAATCCTCGCAGCTTCTACTAAAACCCGCCGCATCCGGTCCCCTTTGTCCCCCTGTCGTCTGAGCGCCCTGCCGCCGGCCGCCGAACGGTGCGGTCCTTCCGCCGCCGCCGCCGGCACCTTCACTGCCGCCCGTCGCGACCGACGCGGCCGGCAGCGTCGCGGCCGTCGTCGGCGTCGGCGCCTCAGCTGGGCGATCGATCGTGGCCGGCCGGCGCGCCTATTGATTCGGCTGCCGGCAGCAGTGGGTGCGCGGCACGAGAGAGCGAGCGAGCGCGAGCGGCGGCCTGCGAGCGAGTCGGCGCGCCGCCACCGTCATGTCGTGACCGCGATGTCCAGACCGAGCTCGCAGGCTGACTACGACCCGGAGGAGAGCAGCCTGTTCCGCGGACCGATCCAGGTGGGTGGCTGGGGGACGGAGGGTGGCCCCTGACGGACAGGTGGGCGCCGCGGCTGCGCCCCGGCCGCCGCGCCGCCGCCGCCGCCCGCACCCGGCCGCTGCGCCGCTCCCGAACGTGCCCTTCCATGAGGCGTGGTGAGGGAGCACTGTGGTTCAGTGACATAACGCTCAGAATTGAAACAGGGTGCTCGGCCATGAGTCGTCAGAATCATTCATATGGTACGAGACACACAGACAATACATAGACTGTGAGGAAGGAGGGTGCAAGTGCCCCCGTGAGTAGTTACGATACGATAGAGTTTACAACCCGTGTGCGGGGACACGAACATCGTTTTGAGAAGAAGTTACGTTATATTCATGGCTGTGCTACTCCTACGGCACAAAATTCCCTTGAAATGATGCCGTTTATTTTTTTCTTTTTACCTGAAGTGCCGTAATGCAGGTGGTCTTACCAAAGGGTCTTACCAATTATGGTCCTCCAAAAGCCTTAAATAATACCGGCGTAATACCGAGAAAAAGTGAAGTTGACAAAATGACATTCAAAGAGCTGACATGACCTAAAACTTTGATATTTGTAGAAGTAAAATAAAGTTCTTTTGTTTATAAAAAAAACGAGGGAAAGACCCTTTCTTATGGGCCAATGTTACAAGGCACGTACTCGTATGCCAAACGATCGCCAATGCAATGCGATTAAAGGAACAAAAATCCGTTTGTTTTGAAGAGATATTCAGTAGATGTTAGCATGATGTTAGCACGAGAGATGTGCATTTTGAATGGGAAACAACAGTTACTGACACGAGCTGAAGGGTCAATGAACTCGAATCAAGATTAAAATTAAGAATCATCAAAGACAGGAAGAAGCAAGGGAAGAAGGTAGACCTGACCTTCCTGGATCAGTTGTGGAAGGTGCGCATTCCGCAGCGCACCAGCTAGGCAATGTAGACAATAGGGGTTAAAGGAAATAGTTCACTTTTTAACATGGGTTTTGAACTGGAATAGCAGTTCCGTAGCTTGGGCTGAGACGAGCATAAATCAGGAGCTTTTACAGCCCAACGATCACCCTAGGCAAAGATATTCTATTTCTCGTCCCGAAAAAGGTGTCTTGCGTTGAGGATGTGTGCCTTGCATATATTTCCATCCAGTATGAAAAGAGCATGGGTCCCGAAAATTATTCAGAAACTAGAGAAATTATCTACGAGAACTCTAGAGAAATTCTCGTACTGATCAATTAGGACATTCAGGGGAACATTATCAGATCGAGCAGATCGCCCAAATGCCGGTGGCTGCGATAATTTCTCTGTTTCTGAAGAATTTTCGGGACCCATGCTCTTTTCATACTGGATCGCGTGTGCCTTACAGAAACTGAAAAGTTCTTCCTATATCAAAATATAGAAAATAATCTTTTGTTATAAAAAGGTTTTATTTTCTTTGCTGATTATTTTGAACATAAAAAATCATAAATCCGTTGCAAAAAAAAAATAATTTCGTGAAAGTGAACTATTTCCTTTAACTGAGTGATAAATGATCATCGATGCCAAATTGACCAAACTATTTAAATGGCGTTATATTTAACAAAATGTTACGGCACATAAATGTCCTTGCGTCGTTTCTAGCTCAGGAAAACATCCACAAAGCAATGACAGTGATGATTCACTGTGTGACTGCTGATGCCGGTGAGCGGAGCCGTGAAGCTATGCTGCTGAGGCGTCCTGTGGTACCTCTCTCCACTGCCACTCCCGTGGTACCCCTCCCGTGGTACCCGTATTACCCTGACCCGACTGGTGTTGTGACGACTTGGCTGCAGGGCGCAGGGTTGACCAGAGGGTCACTTTTAGCCCAGTGAGGTGAGTTCACGAAGGCGCAGCTTCCAATCATCAGTTGGATTACATGAATATCAAGACGAAGATTAGACAATGCATTTTGGTTTTGATCTTGTTTATTTGATAACATTGTAAAAATAGGACCCCCAAAAGAAGACGATTAAAAAAGAAATAACGGGACACACTAATTCTACCCACCCAAAAAAAACTAACTTTTTTGGGACTTTAAACTTTTAACTTTTAACTTTTAACTTTTAACCGGACTTTTAACTAAGTCCGGAAAGCTGCCGTACTGGTCAGGACGACGCCATGGATGGATATAAAGCACGGTGGGGTGAAAAGGGTAACGTTTAGATAGCACGACAGGGAAAACTTTTTAATCAACGGTGTTCTTATGGTCGTTGACTGACTGCCATCATTTTCAGACACGACTTCGAGGCGTTCGTCACCGCAGGAAGCAACACAACCGCTCCGATGGCAGCGTATCCGACAGCTCCAACAGCTTCATCAGACAGGTGAGGTCAAATCCTTCGGCACATGGTCCCACAGCACACCCAACCTGCCCGGCAAACCCAGCCTTCATCAGACAGGTAAGACGAGGTTCTGCGGCACCCTCGGTCCCAGAAAGAATCCAGTGTCTACGTCAGTTCCAATCCAACAGTTTCATCAGATAGGTAAGGCGAGATCCTCCGGCACTCGGGCCTACCGAGTCCTATAACGACGACGGCGCTCAAGCGCCAACACTTGCATCTTGGGGCACTGGGCCGAGACATTCGAGCGAAAGCTGACAGCGGAAGCTACTGTATATTGTATGGCGGACGACTTTCGGTATCGACTTCTATACGACTGTTACAAGTATTGGTGAATTCGTGAATGAGGAGGGTTGAGATCAAATGTAGCCAAAGCGTCTTTGACGGGTCAACAAGGAATTGAAATGACCGTTGACCAGGTCGCCCGAAGTTTCTTCCCTATTGCCATCCCTCGAGATGCTCTCCTCTCGAAGTTCATTCTCTGTTCGAAGACTGACGGGGACTCACCAATGAATTGGCGCCTTATGCATCATGTGTTGTGTTCAAGATACAGTCATGCAGATTGTGTTAGGTAGCAAATAAGACACCGAACCCAAGCTCGCCACAGATTTTTATTCCTTACATACATGAATGATCTATGATGGCGTTAGATTTAAAGCATGTTTACATGCTTTGGCGAACGTTACTATCCTGAAAGTGTGTATGGGACCGAGACTGGAACACCATCAAAGATACCTCACCGGTGTGTCTCAGCTAGATCCCAAACATAACACTCCATGAGTTAAACACCTGTCGCAATATCTCAAGGACACTTCCAAACATTTACATTCGGAGTCTTTCTCCTCTGTTATCATTGGTGCAGACTGCAGATAGCTTATGTATGTTAAAGTAGACATGAACCAAGGCTGTGGATTCGACGCATCGCTTCCGATCGTTCTTTGTTTGCGGTGTTGAACTTTGGTGGTTTTAAATGGATGGTGTTAACTGCCACACTTTTGACACAGTGTTACTTCTGGAACGTCGTTGTGTTAACCCGCTGACAATAACTAAGTTGTGGCACTCACAATATTTATCGTAAAATTGTTTGATCTCTGGTGACGGCGCCATTCAGCCAGCTTTGTAACTGCATTGGCGGCGACATTGACATGAGGAGAACATCTCGGTTTATCGAGCTGGAGCAGAAAGAGGCGCAGTCATATCCAAATCTACCGTTCGTCATCATGGCGTTATATAGCTGCGTCTTGAAAATATCCAGAGAAAAATAAGCTAGCCTATTTTATAGTTTTTTATTGCTTCCATGCATCTATTTTTTAATGAACAATGGAAGGTTACTTGATGTCTATTTGTAGTACTCGACAAGAGCATATAAAATATATGATAACTGGGTGCTACATTCGTGCGTTCCAGAACTCTCGTGTTGCCCTTATCTATAGGACATCTTTCCCTCCTTTCCCTGTCATTTTAGCACACAAGTATCTCTAAACCGTTTGTCATGGTGTATAGGTATGTTAAATACATATACCGGACAACATTATTACACTCTAACCGACGCCCACACCCGGTTACCAATGGCACAGAATGGACATTTCACGACCGCCGTTACGGCTGTTCTCGACTTGTTTATATGCAGCGCACACTGGGACCAGGCTCGTATCTTTCCCGGAAAAAGGTGGACGGCCGGCGCCGCAATCCCCAACGGATTCCACAACACTATGTAGCTACAAAACTATATAGTTTTCTTTTTGGCCGGGCCGACTAAATATTGAATAGGTATATTCATAGACTTATTTAAATAGTCTACATAGAGATAGGTATATATAGAGAGGAGTCTGTGGTATGTTGTATCGCACACACAAAATCAAAGCATGACAATCATCGCACCATGCAACAAATGCCTATTCCCTAGTGCCTACGTCAATACCATAGTCGAGTAATCCAGGGATGCCCATGCGGTCATGCGCTATCCTTTACGTCTTCAGCCTGTGATGGCAAACGCGTGTCGCACTGCCCATTTCAGTTCAGCATGACTTGTTAAATGATTACATCTCGCTGCCAATGTCAATGTCAGACCATCCACAATGGATAGCCACTACAATACACCGCCAAGCGATGCCTCACGACATCGCACTATTCGTCGTCCAGTTGAACCGTTTCGTAATCGAACCGTAGAATGATTAACCAAATAATAAGTTGAGCGCGGACTCCGCTAGACTTATATTTCTTTCGTCCCCAATCGCTGCGAATGATCGTAATTTTCCTGAAGCGCATTTGAACAGCTCAACACGTTACATAATTGCAGGCTGCATAACTCCGCTTGAATATACATCTATGAATGCTGGAATATGTTGTTTGTCTTTGTTAGGTGGGTACTAGGAGTGATAACATTAGGCAAATATTCTACTCAATGTTCATTGTACACCGTTCATTACATAACAGGCATTATGACGATTTCATTTCATTTGACTCTACTTTTAACAGTAGAATTCCAAGAAGGTACGAATGTCATGGGCATAAGATCATCATTGTGCAACGCTGATGACGACCTAACCACCTCTTTATCCCCTAAGCCAGTCGCTATAATTGGGGAAAAGGTGGCCGAGCGATCGTGACAGACGCTGCAAATATCGAGCAAAATATCTTCTCTCTGTCGTCTGAGGGTCGTGAGGACAGTTCCTGTTGTTGGTATAACTTGCTGTCTGTCCTTCATATGGCAGCCGGTATTCGATGTGCCCATCTTCGGGGGTCTCGGAGGCTTAATGTCAATGATCTGCATTTTCACGACCTCTTGGTTTTCTATCTCGGGGGGGGGGGGGGGGAGGGGCTAGCCATTCCACGAGTACCGTGTGGGATGGCGTTGCTTACTCTAATCTTTGTTGACATTTCTTACTTTTGGAAAGCTGACGCTTACTCTATGGTTGCATGAGAAGCCCACCAATGTCACTTACATATCACACGTCTACGCAATGTCCTCTGCAAAACCTATGAATGCGGGTCAACGCTGGACGACACCTGTCAGGTGTCCTTATCCATTTCAAATTGGAATTGGAATGACAGGTAAAACTGAATGCACGACAGTTGAGGCCCGAACCACTATCGGAGGAGCATCTGCCGATCATTGGAGCTATCTGCACTAAATCAAATATTGTTTTTTCGTACTGGCAGACTGACGGGTAGCGTGCAGGGAAACTGGACGAAGCAGGCACAACGGTCCACCTCCACGGTCATTCCAGGACACAGCGGGGCCCCGCCGCAGGCCCTGTGTCGGCCCCCAGTGACGTATAAATACCGGCAGACCTGTACCGCGTCACCACATGTTTTGATAAGGCCTGATGAGACGGTATGCATGTGCACTAGGCAGACGTCACATACAAATAATGAACACTGCTCATGTTATAAACATTCGAATACCAGGAAAACGAGTATATTTATATAATCTAGGTAATAAATGGATGATTCAATTAATCTTCACAAATGAGTCACCTTGGATTAGTGTCGGCAGTTGCCATTTTTTATAGGTAGTAGAAATTCCGACAAATTGATGACTCAACGGAGATGGAGGTGGAAGATGACATCGATAACAGCAGTGAGAACTGCGAACGCCCTATCTTTCTAGTTGAGGTTTATTTGCCATTGGGTCTACAGTGCAGGGATATTTCTATCTCGCACTCCTCTGAGATGCAAAGATAAGAATTTGTTATCTCTGCATCCCTCTGAGATACAAAGATAAGGTCTCGAGGGTTCATAGCCAAAAATCAAGAGTTCAAGTGATCATGGGTCAATAACCGAACGACATTTTTAATGGCTGTTTATGGATGAAACTTATGAAATAGGAACAAACTACTCTGAATCTATTTTAACATAGATGAATACATTTAATTATAATATTTAATTAATTAAGAATAAACCTCAACATAGAAAGATATAGGATTCCTCATGGCCCACTCGTGGAAGATCGGATATCTTTTCCTCACGTGTTACAGAAAAACCTCGCTCCTTCGTCGCTCGGTTTTTCAGTAACCCGCTTGGAAAAGATATCCTTATCTTCCACTCGGAGCCATGAATAATCCTCTATATCTGCGATCAATTATTTCATTTGAAGCCGACCGGCACTGCACCTGCCGGATCAGAAAATATCGGTACATTTGTCCGTATATGACATTGAACAGCAGAAACTATGAAAATAAGATATTTGCTGATCACTATGATCTGTGAATCGCGACTAAATTTTTCCTTCAAAGATTGTAGAGTTTTTAAAGAGTCCCACAGTAGTGAGTAGGTACTGCAATTGTCACAATGGCGATATGAGATTAAACATCATCCAGGTCTGTCATACGTTTGTTTAAAGTGACACAGGAACCTGCCATCAAACGCAGAGAAGAGAACGGCTATTCAGGGCACTGGACAGTGACGGTATATCACGTGCCAGCGTCACAGTTCAGTCTCATACCGACCAAACAGTCACAATGAAGGACTGCAGGAGAGCACATCGTCCAGTTTTTGTTGCCCGGGTGAGGCTGGTGCCGGCCTCGATCCGCGACGCAGGGCACAGTTCCATTGCAGACTCTCATCTCAGAAACGCGGTCTGGTCTGGTAAATTCCGGTCTGCCGGGCCCATCCTGGGGTGTTTTTAGTGCGAGTTTCTGGGGAGGGGGAGCGGCAGGCGGGTGCGCATTGCGCAGCGCTCACTCATCGCCAGAGCTCTGGCTCACTTGTGGCGCTGTTCCAGTCAGCAGAGGCCACATTCTGGGCTGACTGTGGTGCTGTTGGGGCCAGCCGGGATCACATTCTGGGCCTACTGTGGCGCTGGTTCAGCCAGCAGCCCCGGACACTCGGTCGTATCTGGGGGCTGGGAGTCGGTGCTGCTGCGGCCTGCCGTCCGTTTGTGAGCCTGCGTAAACAGCTCTCCGTGGTCGACAGACACAGCGCGCCTCACAGCGGCACCCTGCCGGGCCTACAGCCACACATTGCCCAGAGTTTGGGACGAG